ATTTTTATTTATTTTTACTTTTAATTTATCAATAAAAACTAGGATAATTATTCAAATATTTAAAATATTATTATTATTGTTGTTGTTTCTTGTACTTCTGAACTGAAGTATAATGTGTCGCTCAGTTATCATAACTATAAAACTATTAATGAAATGCATGAAACCAACAGCGCTAATTTCCCGTGATGACACACAAGTGATAAAAGCTTGTTTTTGCAGTGAGTGGTGGTATGCTGGCTGACTCACTTCAAACAGAGTTTATGGCCCAGGGTGTCTCCACAACAGAACCGCTTCCAAAGACGAGTGTGCTTCTTGAGAAAACTTGAAGCTTTCCTCCATCCTCACACAGGTATCCACAATGTTTGGCATGAAAATGTCACATATTTAGTTCACTCAGTAGTTCGGTATAATCAGAGCAAGTTAAAATGATAAAAGAGAGAACACATTAACATATATTCTGTGTGTGTCTGTCTTGAGCTGAGTATTGACTTTCAGTGGAGTGTGTGGTTTGACGTAAATGTAGGTCCCAGTCAAATAGCATTAAGGGCAGATCTTTCCATTTATATCATCAGCCCAGGTATAGAAATGGTTGGCATGAAACCCAAAGACGTGGTGCCCTCTGCGACAGTTAAGTTCTTCGGAGCAGGCACGGCGGCCTGCATTGCTGACCTTGTCACCTTTCCACTGGATACCGCCAAAGTCAGACTACAAGTGAGAAGCAGGAGGCTTTACACATTTTAACTATAGATTTTGTTCCACTTTATGTCTCCTAACAATCATTTCATGTCAACCTATTGTCCAGATTCAGGGAGAGTCTCAGAAAGTTGAAGGGGTCAGAGAAATGAAGTATCGTGGGGTGTTCGGCACCATCACCACCATGGTGCGCACAGAGGGGCCCAGGAGTCTGTACAGCGGACTGGTGGCAGGACTCCAGAGGCAGATGAGCTTTGCCTCTGTCCGAATTGGCCTCTATGACTCCATGAAGCAATTCTACACTCGGGGCACTGAGAGTGAGTTGCATAACCCGAGCATAATTGTGTTAAAAGGAACAGTGTGGTTTCGGTTCCACTAATCGTCATATGCTGCACAGGTGCTGGGGTTGTTACTCGGCTCATGGCGGGCTGCACCACTGGAGCCATGGCTGTGGCTTTTGCACAACCAACAGATGTGGTGAAGGTGCGTTTCCAAGCCCAGGTACGACTGGCTGATGGTGGGAGGAGATACAACAGCACCCTAGATGCCTACAAGACAATTGCCAGGGATGAGGGAATGCGAGGCCTCTGGAAAGGTACCTGCCATGTTACTTCAAACATTTTAATAGTGCATAATATGTGTTACCATTAAAAAAATCCCTCCACTGGTTTTGAAGCAACTGTCATCTCTTTTCTTTTAGGTTGTATGCCCAACATCACCCGTAATGCCATTGTAAACTGTGCAGAGCTGGTGACCTATGACATAATCAAAGAACTCATCCTCAAGTATGACCTAATGACAGGTGAGGTGAAAAAGCAAACAAATTATTGTAGATATTATTCCAATTTCTTACTCAGCCAAATACCAACATTGTGAAAGGATGTGACTCACCTTCTGTTCTCCTATAGACAACCTACCGTGCCACTTCACTGCTGCCTTTGGTGCAGGCTTCTGCACAACAGTAGTGGCTTCCCCCGTGGACGTAGTCAAAACACGGTTCATGAATTCGACAGAGGGCCAGTACAGGAGCGCTATCAACTGTGCTCTCACCATGATGAGAAAGGAAGGACCCACAGCCTTCTATAAAGGGTAAAAAAAAACCTGCCAACACAACACTGAACCAAACAACAACCTGTTTGGGACACTTCCTTACTTTTCTTTCCTTTGTCTCCTTTAGGTTCATGCCTTCTTTCCTGCGACTGGGGTCATGGAACATTGTGATGTTTGTGACGTATGAACAAATTAAAAGAGGTATGACCAGAACACAACAGTACTGGGAGTCACCGTTTTGACCTCACCTTGTCACACTGCTTCTTCAGACAGAGCCGCATGGACACAACAGCCTAACCTTCACCACGATGCAGTGGTGACCCAGGGTTGGAAAGGAATGTAAAAAAGACTCATGGCAGGAAGCTGTAGCTCTTCAACTTCCTGAATAAACACAGATTCTGAGGGCATCGTTGCAATACCAGACCGAAACAAGGACTCAAGTGCAAGGAGACGTTGTAATGGTGCCTCCATTACAAAGATGCTTTCTCAGGTGAAAAAGATGGATGTGAAATTGTAATTCCAGAAGGTTTCTGAATGTTTTATCTCTTTCCAACATATGTACTTAAACCTTAATCAGCTGGCTGTTACATGGTTTTAAAGATGGATTTCTGTGTTTACAAGGATGAACTGTGAGATAATGAATAATGTTGCAACATGATTGTATTTGTTGTTCAGGGTTTTTTGTCTGGCAACACAGACCTAAATAGTGACCACTTCTATTGTCCTTTTGTTGCTTGTTGTATTGTGGATTGTTTAACATGTTTACCTTGTTTGTGCACGTGGAAGGGTTTATAGGTAAATCAATGTCCTGTTTATTGTAAATAGCATGATTTATTGCTGGTCAATAAGTGATAAATATGTCGTGCACAGTGACAAATGATGCCAAAATGAATAAAGAAAGTCCTTTATTAATCATAGTCTGTTATTGAATTGACTGCACTTTTGTTAGCTGGAATACAGTTTAGTGTTATTAGATTATAGAGTGACTGAAATGGAGAAACTGATAAGATAATTGTTGACAGAAAGTGGAGGTTTAAGTGGGAAAGTATTCAATATTTACAGTAAGTTCCATTGTGGTAGAAATCAGTAGTGTATACCAACTAAAGCATTTTGGTGAGTGTGACTGTTTACCTCACCTCTTATACTTTGATGATTTAGATTATGATCCAAGTTTGTCCAGAATGGTTCAGTAAAAGAAATTGTTCTCAAATGATCAAATATTGAATTCCATTTATACTTGATGAAAATATAAACTTCCTGACCTTCTGATTTGGTAAAGACAGTAGACACCAAAAGATGGACTACATAGCCCAAGTAACAAACATATAGCCCACCTCACATGTAGCACAGTATTGGTAAGATGGGGAAAGTTGCATCCTCTCAACACATGTAATGAACGGCTATGCTCTAGTAAATTGTGACATTTATTCTGCTGCATTCTTGAGATTTATTCCACCAGAAAGAGAGGTTTTAGGGTAAATTATATAATTTTTGTTACAGGATAATAGTGATCTATGTGTTCATTTTAACAAGACACCCTAAAATAAAGACTATTAACCTGAAGGACAGGCTACAAGGCTTAAATCTTCTAGATAACCCAATAATAGGTTTGGGTTGGGATTTTAATTAATTTTAGTTTGAGTCAGGGTTTCTTGCTCCAGGCAGAGTCACTACTGAGGCAAGCTGCCCCTTAACCAGATTTGAATTACTGTGCCATAACAACAAAGTTGGCTTCTCGACCCATTTATTTATTTAGGCATCATCATCATCCTGCACACATGCTTATTTCCATTTTTAATTTTACCGTAAACTGACTTTGTTCTTAAGGGGTGTATTTCCCCCATCTGTTAAGCCCGAAAGTCCCCCAACTTTGAGAGCGACTTTGCAAGCACAGTGTGAAACAATACACTGATCACGAAGAACATAGTGATGTTGCACATCAAATTAAACAGCAGAACCTGGGCTAGAAGGCTGTAAAAACCCTTTTTACATGCCCCAAACACAGCTCAAACAACAACTAAATAAACAACAACAAATCCAACTCCATACAGCACTGATATCCCAACCCACTCTGTATATTTCAGGCTCTACCTCGACCACACGACTCTGCTGTTTCCACACATATGCGCCAAAGCACACTACCCCAAAGCATCAGAGAGCTAGAGGCCAAAGAACAACAGAAATCTTTTCGTCAAAATATATTTATAATATCTCTCTTACCTTGTTGTTTTTGCCGTGAAAAGCGCATTCTGCCGTCAAATCACACTTCATTCCCGTTTACTGTAATGTTGTCCATCATTGAAATGAATCCGGGCGGAAAAACTTGCCGGCCGGAGGTTCCGGGGGAAGCATAACAATGACCACTCACAGCAGCTGACCTCGCCCCACAACGCGTTCTGCTGACTCTGATTGGCTTACAGTGCTGCCCATCATTTGGTGGGTATAGCGCCATTCTATTGGCTCTAACGAATCAAACGAAGTGTCAGTCACTCGAATCGACCAAGCCCTCACGGAGATACGGGCCTCCAAAGCTCAGAACAGAAACTCAGAATAGTTTCAAATGTAGTAGGCATGTATTGGTCAGTTTGGAGTGGGAAATACAGGAAAAGAAAACTAAACGGACAGTTGTATGTGTATATCCTAAACATCAGTAGGGATTTACAGAAACAAAAAATGAAAGATATAGGATTGTTTATGACAAAAATCACATGCAAACATGTTTCAATTTTGGAGAGTTCTTCTGAATTTTCTGTACTAAAACCTCTCTAATATTGTTCTGCTTCACTTTATCAGAATCAACCTTTGCAGAGTTAATGTTCACATGTTGTACTATGATTTGATAGAGCTGCAGCTGCATCATTCCAAACGGATACTCATCCTGAAAATGCTTTTTTTTTTTTTTTTTTTTTTTTGTTAAGGCGAACCTCAAAATGTTTCATTTGTGCTGTGTGCCATCTTCATTTACTCCTCACCTCAGGTCATGAATCACCTTTTAACAGAAAGCTGTGGTGAGATGCCGAGGGTCTGAACATACGGATCTAATTTGGTGGGCAACATTCTGTGTTTCTGGATTTTCAGCATGACTCAGCATTTACTCTGCAAGCCTGTACTTTGTGTACTATAATGCTATATATAGACCTCCAGATAACAGATAACTGACTTCAATTAGTTTTTAGCAAGTTAATAAATCCAATTTTTCAATGCAACATTTTATTTTTACAAAATATTCAACTCTGATTACACTGAGTTTGTTTGTCTGCCTTTTAATGTTTGTTTTGACGCTGGTGGTCTGAGGACACAGCATAGAGGAGGTTTCATAGTGAAGTCAAGAAGACAGAGACAAAACATGCTCCAAGACACATATCAGATAAATACAACCCCAGGCTATCTGTCTCACAGACAGGTTTATAGTCTTTCATTGACCAGCAGGCAGCCCATATGGATGTAGTAGAGGTGGGGCCCTAGGGGTGGGGCTCATCAGTAACACATGCCATGCCATGATGTAACAAGGACAGTATTTAAAGCGACGGCTCTCGTCTCCACACTGCTGCATCCTGTCCATTCACTGATTCATTTGGCAATTGTCACTTGGAGAGGCATTTTACCAGGCATTTTTATACTTCCACAAATCAAATCACGGTAAAATTTAGGACCTTTTTTTTGGCATACTTTTACCTTTGTTCTAACTGTTCCCCTGCTATCGTTTTTTTGATCTTATTTCTGTCTTTTCCAGGATTTGGAGTATGATTTTAAGGCTCATAACTTCTGAAAAATCTTCTATGGAAAAACAAAGACACCAATTTATAGCTGGGAAAAAATTCAGCCAGAGGGACACCTTTAGAGAATCCTGATCTCTAAAGTTTCTTTCCTAGACTGCTCCATTAAAGGTAAGAATCATTAAGCAAAATTCAGACTACAAAATGAAGTGTAAAATAAGACAAGTTATTTGTGCTATTGACTTTGCAAGGCATTTTAAGCCCATGTGAGCCAAGCATTTCCCTCTCTGAACAGCATGTTCTGAACAGCTGTCTTTCATTAAGCATCACTAAAGCTTCTACTTTAGGATGTCTCCTTGCTAAATGGAGGTGTTAAATGAACCCCCAACAGCTGAAGCAATGTTCCAAAAAATACACAACATTTGGATGTTCTTTGGGGTCTATCTTTTTCAGATTTTGGAGGAGCTTCTTTTCCTGTGCACATTAATAAGCCACTTCTCAATCCTTATACTGATTGAAAAAATTCTGGAAAATGGTTGGATTTGGACCTGCAGACGTGCCTCCATCAGCAGCTGTTAAGTTTGTAGGAGCGGGAACTGCAGGCTGCATAGCTGACCTGGTCACCTTTCCCCTGGACACAGCCAAAGTGCGACTGCAGGTACACAAGCGTGATTTGACTTCTCATCAACATATCAAATGCTGATATTGTATGTAGAGATATGTGAACATACTGAATGTAAAAGTCTCTCGTCCCCACCTTTTATCTTGCAAAGATACAAGGAGAGGCCAGAGCTCCTGTAGCTGCAGGGAAAGAGTATGCAGTGAAGTATCGTGGAGTGTTTGGCACCATCACCACCATGGTGCGTACAGAGGGGCCCAGGAGCCTTTACAGTGGACTAGTGGCAGGACTCCAGAGGCAAATGAGCTTTGCCTCTGTCCGCATTGGTCTCTACGACTCTGTAAAACAGTTTTACACTAAAGGCTCTGAGCGTGAGTATTTCTGAATGTATTCCAATAATAGCTAAAGGAGTCCTGCAACATTTAGGCTGACAACTCCCTCCTATCTGGTTCAGATGTTGGTATTGGCAGCCGGCTGCTTGCAGGATGTACCACTGGTGCCATGGCGGTTGCTTTTGCTCAGCCTACAGATGTGGTGAAAGTTCGCTTCCAGGCACAGGCCAGGTCCCCTGGGTGTGTCAGGCGCTATTGCAGCACTGTTAATGCTTACAAGACCATTGCAAAAGAAGAAGGCATTCATGGTCTGTGGAAAGGTACAGTAGCTTGAGTTTAAGAGGATTATTTAGGTATTAAAGCACAATGCCCTTTCTCTAATGATAAATCTTTATATCACCTTGTCACTCAGGTACAGCTCCAAACATTGCACGGAATGCAATTGTTAACTGCACTGAACTGGTGACGTACGATTTCATCAAGGATACACTCCTTAGGTCCACGCCGCTGACAGGTAAAACAATGTCTGCACTGCAATATGATGGAGTGGAGTGACATAATGCCCCAGTGTTGTTCTCTCTGGAGAAGTAACTTTCAGCCCGCACTCCACAGATAATCTGCCCTGCCACTTCGTATCAGCCTTCGGTGCAGGGCTATGCACAACAGTGATCGCTTCTCCAGTTGATGTGGTCAAGACAAGATACATGAACGCTGCTCTTAGCCAGTACAGCAGTGTCCTCAAGTGTGCTGCTGCCATGATGACCAAAGAGGGACCACTTGCCTTTTATAAGGGGTAAGCACTGACTGTGTGGACAATACTGAAAGGATGAATGAGGATATAAATCAAACCTTTACAACGGAGGGGGAGGAGAGAAACAGGGCGTAAACTAAAGGTAGAAAACAGCTTTTAGTATAATTGTAGACAGATTTTAAACAATGGTGTAGTTTTTCTGTTTTTTTTGCTCCTCAGGTTCATGCCATCTTTCTTACGCCTGGGCTCCTGGAATGTGGTGATGTTTGTGACATACGAGCAGCTGAAACGAGCCATGATGGCAGCGAATCACAACTGCACAACTATACTGTAACCATTATTGTCTGTCAGAAGGCTGATGCTGTGGCACACTGGTGCTGTTTACAAATTTCCTTACATTTTGTTACCTCCTAGACTATATTACAGCTCAGAATATCAAAGTTATTTAAACTGTGTTGATACTGCTCTCTCTCTCTCTCTCTCTCTCTCTCTCTCTCTCTCTCTCTCATAACCACATTAATCATCAGTCAGAGGGTAGCAACACATGTATTAGCATGTGATCAATATTTAAAAGCTAGAGCTTGTTTGATGAGATGCTTGCTCTCAGCGGAGAGCTTCTCGGGAAACTGGATGTCAAAAGTAACGATAAGGTTTCCTCTGTGGGAGGGATCCTGGGACAGCGGCATTCCCTCTCCAGTCACCACTTTGTTGTACGCAGGGCTGATGTGTTGTGACAAACAAATCAGAGACAGGAAAATGGTAATTAATGCAAATGATGCACAAAGTCAAAACATATCCTGCTAGAAATGTCCTTCTTTAAGTGTACTGTTTATATAAAGTGCTTGAATTTCTTATGATCATCTCTACCTGTGTGTTTAAATAATTCATTCAGATATTAAAGTATCTCAGATGAATGTCAAATTAATAGGATAACAGGATAATACATTATACATGAATGATATTTAGGTATGTATTATTCCACTCACTGCACAATGTCATTGATGGGAATACTGAGTAGCCTGCCATCTAGTGTGTCCACATCCACAGAGAACCCAGTCAAGGCCTGTGGGAAAGGTTCAGTGTTTATTCTACTTCAACCAAATCTTTAAGTATGACTAATAATAAAAAATATTATTCATGACTCACCATCTCCAGAGTGATCCGGGCCTTGTAGATCAGGTCATTGTGTTGTCTCACAAACAGAGGATGACTCTTCTGTCGCACTATGAACACAATATCTGCAGGGATGTTGTTTGGTCCCTAAAGGTAAAATACAGCAGGATTAGGCTCTCTCCCTAAAACATGGCTTAGTGATAGTTGTTGCCATGCACAGTTTCTTGAAGAACAGCTTGGTACACATACTTTGTTTTGAACAAAACTGACCAAATCATATAAAGCAAAACTTACTATGTGGTTTTATTCATATAAGTACGTGTGAGCACTTTAGAGATATCAGCTGAGGCCACCTACTGGTGGCACTGCAGCAGATCCACTGGAAACTGAGTTATTAGATGCACTTTGAGAATTTCCTAAAAATATTATTACAGTTCATATTCTTGCATTACTTTCTGATGCCTTTACCTGATTCAAAACTGGCCAGTCCTACAGTCTGTGGTCAACAGCTTCAGCAAGTTTAAAGTCATGTTTCATGAACACTTATTAATCAAACAGAATTTTAAAATGAATTGGAGAATATTTTTAAAGGAGTGGAATGTAGAGATCTAATACAAAATGATACATTCGGACTTGCTAAAAAAATGTACCCTTCTCCATTAGAGATGCCTACAAATGTTACTATTCTCATTGTTCTTTAAGTTTATGATGATCTTACATGAATTTGCACAACACTGCACTATTGTAGTGTCGTTAAAAATGTACATACTTCAGATCCTGCACAAAAACAGACTAACAATTGCTTTAGGAATAGGTTTTGTGCTTCTTATCACAAATCATGCATACTGACATGTTGGTCAGTATGCATGATTTGTGACTTTCCTCAAAAGCTTATAGCACACCAAAAGCTGTAGTTATATATAATGAAGTCTTAGGGCCGCTGTGAAACTGTCTGCTTAGGGCAACACAACGGTTTGACTTAGAATAGATATAGGTATAGGTATATATAGGTATAGAATAGATAGACAAACAAGAAAGGATGGCAGAGGAGATACCTGCACACAAATGTAACTGGGCTAAAAAAAAGGGAATAAAAACAGCAGCAATCTGGTACATTTCAATCCTTGACTATCATCAGAACACTGATTCAGAGGACAGAAACGCTGCTGTTTTTATTCACTCTTTATTATTTTTTTGCACTTTGAGCACCTTTTTTTGTGCATGGATGTCTTTAATAAACTGACTGTTTTTGCATTTATCTTAGCCTGTGGACCTTTTTGTGGCTTTCTAGCCCAGTTACATTGTGTGTGGGTATCTCCTCTGCTGTCCTGTAAATAATGTAGACCCATCAGCTGAAAAAATCAGCTCTATTTGGTGACAAAGTGTTTTTGATAAAACAGCACCAGGGACAGTGACACAAGCCAAACTGGTCATAACCCACAGTCTTGTAAGAAATTTTGCAAGAGAGAAAGAAATAAAGGAACAGTGCCGACAATTACCAAAGCTTTACCTTGTTTTTAACCAAAATAATTCATCCTAACCTCAACCAAACAACTTAACCACACAGGAGCAGTGTGTAGCATTTAGCTGCATCTAGCGGTGAGGATTAAAGATTGCAACCAAGTGAAACATCTCACGTGCCAAGCATGAAATCCCAGTTATGATTCCTTCAGCATTCATTGTTCAAGAAGTTTTTACCAGGAGGCAAATTATCCGCAGAGATCTTTTACTTAACACAAACGGATCAGGTGTTAAAAACTAATAAACTAAAACAAATAAAAACAACAAATAAAGCAGTTTAACATTAAAAATCTGCTTACTAGGTTGACAGGAAAATGCGAATTGCCCAATATAGAGTAGGGATGTAACGATTACAGATATAACGGCAAATCTCAGTTAATTTTTACACGGTAAGAATTACAGTTTATGTTTAAATTAATTGCATAATCGCGGTGGATTATCAGGATATGTAATAACAGCCTCATTCAAGTCTTGCGATGCAGATGCTGCGTGAATGTGTAGCATGTGTTACGCATGTGTGGCCAGTTATGCTTTCTCGACATAAGCTCAAGGAAACAACATAAAACGCTGCCGTGTTAATGTTTAACCGAGAGCATGCATTCCTTTTCTCATACAGGTAATCCTCTGACTCACATGCACACTTCTAATGTGTGAATTATTCTGTGTAATGATGACCATAGCCCTTAGGGTTTTTTTGGTTTCTCCTGCACATTTGTGATATCTATTCTATATATTGTATGTCTTTTGTTCTACTCTTGCATTGTTTTGTTTTATATATATTTTTCCTATCGTGCTAATAAATAAATAATTAATATATAAATTGTTTATATGTTTTGCTGACTGTTAAAATGCACCAGACAAATAAGCTTTGCTCCTGTAATGTGTTTACATATTTTGTTCATTTAGAATAAAATTTTCTGTTGCTGTGCCAATCCCTTGCCCCTTTAATGTGAAAGTTTCATGTTAATATAAGATTTTGGCTGTTAACATTTTAGTATGATAAGGAAGTTACAAGATTTAGTGAAGTTATTTCAATGTATCTATTTTTTGGACATTTTACAGCGCATAAAAAAATATCGCAATATTATCGTTTACCGTGATAATTTGGTCACTATAATCGAGATATCAAATTTTCCATATCGTTACATCCCTAATATAGAGCCAGAGTTTGTTTTTTCTGCTGTGGACTACTGCAGACACAAGATGGTGCAACATGGCAGACTCTGCGAATGAGGACCTGCTCCCTATGTAGACATAAACGGCTCATTCTAAAGTAATAAAGATAAAACGATTCTCATTTTCAGGTGATTATTTAGTAAAAGAAAAACACTTAGTATATCATATTCCACTTGAAAAATTGAATTTCCCCTCAACGGACTAGTAAAAAAATGGTTTCTTTTTTCTTTCTTCCTTTCTTTCTTTCTTTCTTTCCTTTTTCTTTCTTTCTTTTCTGCCAATACATCCCCCTAAATCCTGCACGCTGAACCTTTAAACAAACTAGAGAAACCATTTCTAATCACAAGTTGTCAGCTCCTTTTCTGACCATTCTCATAGAGGCAGCAATCACTCAGAGGAAGAAGGGAAAGTAGACCAGCAAATCTCTTTTACAGAATGACAGCATATGGATGACTTGTCAGTGAGTATTACTGCTGCTGTCATAAATCTCAAGAGTAAATGGTGATGTATGTTTTTTTTTTTTTTACCTGATCTCCCTCTTTGGGGAAAGTTATTCTCGTGCATTCTTTCCACCCAGGCCTCACATCTATAGTCAGGAGCTTGTCTCTGATACTGGATGTGTATCCATCCTCATTCATAACCTGTTCAACAAATGAGGCAGAAATTTATGAATGTATGAATAAGATGTTTGATCAGAGATAGTTATCCTACATACAGTTTATCTTACCCTGCGAGATATCTTAATCTTTTTTGTGCATCCATGGAAGAGATCATCCAGGGACAGATGAAGGTCTCTCTCTATGTGAGAGTCTTGTGTCTTCACCACTCCTGGTTGCAGGCTACCGAACTGAAGCGGTGCATCATTTGTGTAGAAGTCTAGTAGAGAAATAAAATAAAGTTAATGTAATTATTATGAAATGCACATTAAGCGTAATGTATGGTCTGTTTTTCCCACCTGCAAATGGGTTGTTGCCTCCAAAAAACTGTCTGAATGTTTTGTCTGGGTTCCCGTGGTAGACATATTTAGATGACCAAGCACCACTGCTGCCAAACTCAGGTGGGATACCTCCTTTTAGACCCTCCTCACCAAACTTGTCATAGGTTGCCTTCTTCCGAGCTGTCAGAAAGAACATAGGTATACAGGATTGTTATAGACGCATGCTGCCAATCTCCAGGCAGTAAATAAAAATAAAAATAAAAAGTGTGCCACTGTATAGATTCATTCTGATGTTGATTTCAAATAAAAATGTATCTGTCCTTGAGCCAACTGGTTCCTAAGGGTCATGAGTCTCAAGCTTTAATGTACAGCATTTATCTCAGCATTTTATTAATTTCTGTTAGAGAGAATGCTAAATGAAAGTGTTATTTTTTAGAATTGTGATTATTATGCAAAACCTTAACTCTAAAATAACAGAACAGGATAAGGGCATGGTGAAGACCTACGAGCTATATTTACCGATTCTTCCCTCTCTACGAAACAGCCTTGTCCTGCATTAGAAATGTATGCAGTTAAAACAGAGAGCTAAGCTTCAGGGAAAAGAACACACTAAATTTGCTGAAACCTATTAGTTATGTATGATTGTTGAAATTTAAAAAAAACTTGCTGCAGAGAATCACATGAAAAGTCCAAACATCTGGATAATTTATCTCTGATGCAATATTAAGAGAAAATCTGCTCAAAATTCACCCAAATTGCTCATTTTGCACAAATTTAACTGCAGTTTTTGCTTTCACTATTTAGGTCAATTGCACAGTTTATCAGCTGCAATGAGTTGTTATTGTTTTGCATTAAAGATAATATAATAATAAAAATATGTGCCCCTTAAAGAAACAGGTTGAGAACCACTGCTCTAGCCTCTTAACAGATAAAGTACATGCACACTTTACATCATTATTACTATTCACATATTGGTCAGATACAGTTTACCTGTTAATAAAACAAGTTTTCCTTTATTCAAGCCTTATAATAGCAGCAAAACATGTTATACAGTTTTTAGCATTTATTAATAATTAGTTTATCATGAGACATAAGAGCAGATAAGTTAGTTATTACACCAATTTCAAAAGTTTTGATCAATTTTACTTGTGAGTTGATTTGCCTATAGTTGAATGGCACTACTGATCTAGTATTTACGGTAAAACAAACCTCCCTGCTGTACTCACGGTCGCTCAGCACATCATAAGCTTCACCCAGCTGACTGAACTTCTCGCTGCTTCCAGGTCCTCTGTTGCTGCTCGGGTGAAACTTCAAAGCAAGACGTCGATATCTAATTAGATAAATAGGACAAATTGTGACAATGAACACAAACGCCTCATGTTTTAAGTCTTAAAGTCTATTGGGTAGGCTAACTTAACGTAAGCTAATAGTTAGTAAGCTAGTTTAACAGAAACTTACGCCTTTTTGATGTCTGCGTCTGTTGCATTTCTGTTTATTTCCAGCGTCTCGTAGTAATCATGACCCATTATGAAAATAAATGGTTAAAATAAACTAGAAATAATAGAAAAGCTGAATATATCCGCACGCTTTGACGCAGCAGCTGTTGCTAAGCTTGGTTTCCAGGGTAACAGATGCTCTGGAAACTCTCGCGGGACTTGCCATTATGGCTGAACCAATCCGGGCCAGGCACTAGTACACACACACACTGCTTAGTGTTACAAGACACCTGGCAACATATTTGACTGCTGTGTACATGTTGGAAAATACAACAACGTTATAATTTGGTGTCTTATTGTTGGGTGTTGTAAAGTCACAGTGGAATTACTGTACAGTTTACACTAACTAACTACACTAACCTGTGTGAAAGGTGCTATACAAACAAAGTTTGATTGATTGCTGCCCCACAGTATACAAAGTGAACCTTTTCTTTTTCAATGGTTTCCAATGGTCATGGCTGGACTAACCTGTTGGGACTCAAACCCATCCAGCTCCTCCCTTCCTGTGCTTTATGCACCCTGTCACTGCAGTTTTAAGGTGATTTATTAAGTAAGTACAATTCCCTTTTATTTAGTAACATGCACTGGCTGAGCTGAATACAAACAAAATTAAGTACAGCCTCTGCAACGGTCATCCTTCATCAAAGATTAGGCAATGATGTTACATCAGTTCAGTTTATATTGTACCTCAAGTTTGCAATTATTCAAACTATGTGAAATTACTTGACATATTTTGAACCTGGGCTTCAGGGATGCAGTGACAGTTGCCTGCTTTGCAATCTTGCCTTGCAGGTGCATACAGGTGGCTGATTGCCCCATTAACTCCCTTAATATATCAAAATCTCATGATTACATGTGCCACACCACATATTAAGGCATGAATAATGTCTGGAGTCTGTTTAGGTGTGGCAGCTCTAGGCAGTGTTCTTGTGAATGCTGGCTCAGTGGAATGGCAGATTTTGGAGCCATCATTACAGCCATTAACTCCACCTGTGTTATTCCTGCAATGACAAGTCAAAACGTCTGCTGTGAAATAAGCCTATTAGTCCAGGTCCAGCATATCGCTCCTGCACGACTGAGCTGATTACTGTCAGTCATTTAGTCCACATGACTGAGCAACTTTCTGCTCCATACAGCAACACATTTGAGGCCTTGCTCTTTATAATAGTTGCTGCTAGTGCTGTTCTGTTCCTGTGGTTCACACTTTGTTGCCACTGCTGAGAGCCAGGCTGAAGGCCTACAGCTAACATCTCTGCAATACTAATATTTTCTCTTTGATTTGAAATTCACATATCAAAAGATACCATGTAATTCACTGACACCAAATTGTACAGCTGTTAATAAAACACTGATGCATTCCATCAGAGGTGACAAGTGTATTTTTATTCTTTCATTTAAAACCATTCCAGACAGAAACGTTAAGGAGTACTATGCTATACAAATCAGACTCTCCATAAGTTCACACAGAAAATTGCACTGTATTATCAATATGATCGAATTGCCATTTAGAGGTGGTAGAGGGAGCAGCAGAGGCTCTCTGCTGATTCAGTTAAAGGTGGTCCAGATGGATGCATATTTTTATTAGCGATTCAGGACTCATTGCAAAAGTGAAGATATTAACAGCCATAAAAAAGAGACATGAATCCAAAAGAAATAAATATTACAAGTCATTGTAGATTAAATACACATGTAGAATAATCACTAACAAAAGATCAATGCCAAAAAAAATAAAAACAAGCAAGAGAAACAAAGTCTTTAATGTGTTCATAAAACATCATACCAAACTTAACTAGATAATCCCAAAGCAAAGGAAGCCCTCTACAATTAAACTCCAAAAGGCATACTGTATATCTCCATGTCTAATGTTTACAGTCGGTTTTATGATTATGACTCAATATATGAGAAAATACTCCTCAAACACTATGTTCAAAGAAATAGTTTTAATCTATGATAGTTGTAGCCTTTAGAAAAAAAATAATTAAAGATCTATTCAAATAAAAAGGAAATAGAAAATGGAACCAAGGTAAAAATAACCCATCTCAAGGGACAAGTGTGGGGAGGACGGTAATGTGGATGGTGCGGCGATAGTGTTGCTCTTGTAGTATGTGTCATGTGTTTGTGCTGGTGTGAGACCATGCGGTGATGTGTGACGATGTATTGACTTGCCATATCATGCTGGTACATGTTGGGACTGCTGGTACAGGCACCACTTAGCTCATGGCTACCACTCTTGGGTGTACAGTGTACGTGTCAAATCTGTGATGTCCTAGTTGGTGTGCTTCAACACAACTTTGCAACCATTTCCACAAATTAGACTGACAGTTAAAAAAATAAAGAGCAGTTTGTTGATAAAGAATGAATCCTTGGTGATCAATCAATTGCCACGTCACAAATTATGTTAACTGACAAATGCATACAACACCCACGTTGTGCTTATTAAGCTTGAAGCAATATTTAACTTTTAGAGAATATTCTCACTCTTACACACATACTTCGACTTCATGTCTTAAACACACCTTTTCTTTCTTTCGGTTTGATTCAAAAAGTCATCTTTAGAGACAAACTATAGCAATGACACTCATTTCTCTTCTGCCACCATGTTTTGTCGGTTTGAAATGACAGAAAACAGCGGTGTTTCAGCGTATGTGTGTTACAGTGCAAATATTCAATTTAAGTGATTTATGACTTTCAGAGCATCCTGATGAGAGAGCAGCTTTCCGCAATGGCAAGGATAACGACTGTAGTGTTCTCTTTCAGGTTGGGAAACAGCGGCGAGTGCAGTGAAGGGTGCAGATACAGAAAAAACAAACAAACTGGGTTTGAGAAAAAGCCAGTAAGAGAAATATTTAGCCATAAGCTGGCATTAGCAAGAGCAGCCTCCTTCGCTGGCAGGTAGCTCTGGTGGCTTCTCCAGCTTAATGTCAATCACTGAGGGGTTCAGGAGTTAAGGAACATCACAAAACAGCAAACATGCCACTCTAATATGTACATGAGAGGTTGTTAAAAATAAACTCCCCAACACTTTCAGGATTAAGTTACTGGAGATTACATATTAAAGTTTTGTACACATGTACAAATAGTTTATATATATATATACAGTACAGGCCAAAAGTTTGGACACACCTTCTCATTCAATGCGTTTTCTTTATTTTCATGACTATTTACATTGTAGATTCTCACTGAAGGCATCAAAACTATGAATGAACACATGTGGAGTTATGTACTTAACAAAAAAAGGTGAAATAACTGAAAACAGGTTTTATATTCTAGTTTCTTCAAAATAGCCACCCTTTGCTCTGATTACTGCTTTGCACACTCTTGGCATTCTCTCCATGAGCTTCAAGAGGTAGTCACCTGAAATGGTTTTCCAACAGTCTTGAAGGAGTTCCCAGAGGTGTTTAGCACTTGTTGGCCCCTTTGCCTTCACTCTGCGGTCCAGCTCACCCCAAACCATCTCGATTGGGTTCAGGTCCGGTGACTGTGGAGGCCAGGTCATCTGCCGCAGCACTCCATCACTCTCCTTCTTGGTCAAATAGCCCTTACACAGCCTGGAGGTGTGTTTGGGGTCATTGTCCTGTTGAAAAATAAATGATCGTCCAACTAAACGCAAACCGGATGGGATGGCATGTCGCTGCAGGATGCTGTGGTAGCCATGCTGGTTCAGTGTGCCTTCAATTTTGAATAAATCCCCAACAGTGTCACCAGCAAAACACCCCCACACCATCACACCTCCTCCTCCATGCTTCACAGTGGGAACCAGGCATGTGGAATCCATCCATTCACCTTTTCTGCGTCTCACAAAGACACGGCGGTTGGAACCAAAGATCTCAAATTTGGACTCATCAGACCAAAGCACAGATTTCCACTGGTCTAATGTCCATTCCTTGTGTTTCTTGGCCCAAACAAATCTCTTCTGCTTGTTGCCTCTCCTTAGCAGTGGTTTCCAGCAGCTATTTGACCATGAAGGCCTGATTGGCGCAGTCTCCTCTTAACAGTTGTTCTAGAGATGGGTCTGCTGCTAGAACTCTGTGTGGCATTCATCTGGTCTCTGATCTGAGCTGCTGTTAACTTGCGATTTGTGAGGCTGGTGACTCGGATGAACTTATCCTCAGAAGCAGAGGTGACTCTTGGTCTTCCTTTCCTGGGTCGGTCCTCATGTGTGCCAGTTTCGTTGTAGCGCTTGATGGTTTTTGCGACTCCACTTGGGGACACATTTAAAGTTTTTGCAATTTTCCAGACTGACTGACCTTCATTTCTTAAAGTAATGATGGCCACTCGTTTTTCTTTAGTTAGCTGATTGGTTCTTGCCATAATATGAATTTTAACAGTTGTCCAATAGGGCTGTCGGCTGTGTATTAACCTGACTTCTGCACAACACAACTGATGGTCCCAACCCCATTGATAAAGCAAGAAATTCCACTAATTAACCCTGATAAGGCACACCTGTGAAGTGGAAACCATTTCAGGTGACTACCTCTTGAAGCTCATCGAGAGAATGCCAAGAGTGTACAAAGCAGTAATCAGAGCAAAGGGTGGCTATTTTGAAGAAACTAGAATATAAAACTTGTTTTCAGTTATTTCACCTTTTTTTGTTAAGTACATAACTCCACATGTGTTTATTCATAGTTTTGATGCCTTCAGTGAGAATCTACAATGTAAATAGTCATGAAAATAAAGAAAACACATTGAATGAGAAGGTGTGTCCAAACTTTTGGCCTGTACTGTATATATATATATATATATATATATATATATATATAACAAAATAATAAAAATCCAATTTCCAAAAACAACCAAACAGCCATGGTGTAAACTCACATTTGTAGGACAAATCCCACACACTGCATTTCATAACAAATTGAATTCTTTTGAGAAAGATCATGTTTTATGTTGCTTTTATGTGACATTTAACCCTACATGGAGGTTTTTGTAAAAGCTAAAAATATTACAAACCTTTAACTAGTACCACAGAAAACCTTGAATTTCAGTGGGGATGAACACCATTTGTTTTTAGGCAATACTCAGCAAAACTAAAATCATAGGGGAGATTAAAGGTCTTTGATCACCAAGTCCAAATTCTCTGTATGCGTTTGCACACCAAGTCCCATGCCTATTGTTGCTGTATTCGCTGTGAAAATTCGCAGTAGCCGACAAAACAGAGAGAGACATTTCCTTTCTTGCTTCCCTCCACTGGAGGTGCCTCCCTGACCGTCCCCACTCTCTTCCCACATCTTGCATTTGGCACCGCAGCTATTAAATTGCGCTCGGCTGTCAGCATCATCATTGCTTTTGTGCATTTTTGGATGAGCTGACATCTCCTTCTCTTTGTTGTTGAAACATTCAAGGCCATTGCTTCCATATATTTCAACGTCTATTTCTTGCTGGCCTCCTGTCCACTTCTGCCCTGTTCCTTTCTTTTGTTACGCTTATGTCCCCCAGATTAGGCCACATTTTCCTCACTGCTGCTTGGTCAAACAACTCCTTTGGACAGATACGAACGCAGAAAATTGAACCTTTTCTGAAAATGATAGTGTGTAAATGTGATTGACACAACAATTTTGGATGAAAAATAAGGCCTTGGTGTGCGAAGGCCTTGACTCTTATCTGCAATCTGAATCAAACTGCAGTGAATCCATGCCAAATGCAGCCTGGAGGTGGTAAGTATTTCTGTAACATTATACCCACAGTTAAATAGTGAGTTGGAGCACAATATGCGCCCTCACTGGTAAAATAAATGTAAACGGACACATGGGTTAACGAACAACAGCTTGCTGTCACACTGCTGCACTACATTTTCCCTCTGGCAGGGACTACCCATACAACACAGCGGAAGCGAGATAGAGAGAGACCTCCTGACTCTTTCCTGCCATGTCGGACACAGACGTTGATATACACACAAAGGATACTGTCCTCTCTACTCTTGTCCTGTGTGGTGTCCATGCCAGGAAGGGCGGCTGCCACACGACGGAAAAGCTAGAGGGAGAGAGAACCAGATGTATTTTGTCAGACACGGACATATGCTCGGAGCATCACAAAAGCACGAGATGAAATCAAGATAGCGTGCTGTGTATCTTCCCATTAAATGATTTAGCATAAGGTTTGCTTGAAGCTCGCACAGAGGAAGAAGGCCACCAGAGCTTTTCCAAATTTGATTTGAATTTAGCAGCATGTCTTTGAGCTACTGCAAGGTAATACTTCTGCACTGCAGAGAGAGAGAGAGGATGTAACTTGTGCCTTACAGAGAGCTTCCATTGATGGAGCTTGGAGGATTTAAAGTGATTGATGGATTCAAATGAAAATTAAAGTGACAGTGTTGAATGTATGATGATGCTCAAAATGCCCAACCTCGCAATAAAAAGCATCACATACTGTAGAACTAGACTTTATACACATGCAACAAAATACTGCTATGGTGCTAATCAGTTTAGTGGGGAGTATTGGTTTGCAAACCCCGACCCACCTCAAGAGCTGTGTGATCAAAGGCTGGCCAATACAAATCATTACTCCTAACAGGCGGGACAGAGCTTGTAAAACAAATCCACACACCTCACTTTCAAACAGAAGAAGCCGATGTTTAAAGCACACCTTTATGCACGCATGCGTGTGTGAAACAGAAGCCAATCAGAAGAGAGCATGAGCGCTATGAACGAACACACACACACACACACACACACACACACACAAGGTGCACACGCTCTACCTGTTTGACATTGTAGCCTGTCTTTGCACTTGTTTCAATAAACAGAACATTCATCTCTTTCGCTCTCTGTTCTCCCTCCTCTGTGGTTATCTGTCTGTGAGGAGCCACCGCGCACAAACACACAAACACCCACAGGGACACGCACATGTTGCCACAGACATTGACAAAAAGACAAGGGAAAGAGAATACAGACTGTGATTATGTTGAAGTGGATAAACAAGTCGTGCCCCTTCCTGCTGCTACTGCCACCTGTGCTTGATACCAAAGGTCGTCCAGTAGAAATTCTGGCTGTTCAGTTTGTTAGCCGAACTCCCACACAGGCTTTCAATTTGGACAGAAAATGAACAATTACTGGTTTGTTGCTGATTCATTTACAAAATGCCTCTTTTATAAGGTCTAAATCAATCGAGGGTGACTCTTAAGGATCCAGCTCCCCACATTTCTAACCACTGATTTTGGCAGACGACCTTTGCAGGTAGAGCCCTGGCAGCAGCATCCGCAGCAAGACTACAGAGCACGACTCACACACACTCTTACCTGCTTTACATTGTAGCCCGCTTTCGCACTAGTCTCAATAAACATTACATTTAGTTCTTTGGCTTTCCGCTCACCCTCTTCAATAGATACTTGCCTGCGGTGGATAAGGGAATTAGGAGATGCACAGCAAAAGACATTACACAACTTACTTAATTAAACAGGTGAATAAAGTGGATCAGACAATTTCAAATCAAATATTATCAAACACAATAGCTGATAACCATCAATACTTTCATGAGATCGATCAGTTAACGATCTAATAATCAATATCTTCAAACAATGTGGGGTGAAACAAGGAAAAAGAGGGCATATAGTATATAAGAAGTCAATGAGAGCTCTGACATCCACAAAGGGCAAAAATAACTCGCACTGCCTCATAAAGGCCTAAGCAGCTCAGAATCGACAGGCCAGCAGCTTCAATCAATGACTTCATTAGTATGCTCTTACTGGTGAAGCCCCACTTACACAGAGGCAGGAGGAAGGAAGAACAGATTACCTTTTGTCTGCAAGGTCTGTCTTGTTTCCCACCAACATGATAATGACATCACTTCCTCTCTCCGTTCTCACATCATCAATCCATTTTGTGGTTTGCTGGAAGGAGTTGACATCTGAAAGAGAGAGACAAGGGGGAAACAGGAAGCAGAGCATCAGCATTCAGGAGATGAAAAGCCTCAGCTGTGAAAACCAGGCAAGTTTGTGACGGGAAGGAAGGAGAGATACAAGTCATACACATCTTGTCCAAGTCAGATGTATACATTTGGAATTATAAGGATTCTGAAATTAAAAGAAAGGTGTCCTTGCATTTTATAATGACAAAACAAACATTTACTACCATTTAGGGATGTCCCCATCAAGTTTTTTTGCCCCCGATCCCAATCAGTCATTTATTATTAAGTATGAGTACGAGTACCAATCCAACACTTCTATTTTCCTGATAATACAGCTGCACAGTACACACTGAAAGTACTTTAAGGTTTAAAATCAGTCCAAATGATATTTAGCTCTGAAATGCATTAATAAAAAATCCCTGCATCCAAGTTGTTCCCTTTTCTTCAAATGATAAAGTAGGCTGTAAAATAAAAATTCTTTCTATCCCTACTCTGTCCCTTTAAGAGAATTACTCCAGTATTTGTTGCATTGATGCAGCCTTTTTCCTGAGTTACCTGAACAAACTGTTTCCTGTTAGGTGTTTATTTTATTTTTCTGTACATTCCGTGGATGCCTGGATAACTTAAATCAATTACTCTTATCGGCAATTTGCTTGCAGAGCTTTTGTTGCACTTGCAGTGGAGTCCTGAGTGTCTGCAGTGACGCATGCACCATGTATCTTATGACAAAAAAACAAACCACCAGGAACTCTCTGAGCTGAAATGAAATGAGTGCAAATAAAATTGGGTAAATTAAATAAATCAGTAGTCTTATTCTGTTGCTTGCTGTGTGAGCTGTTGCTTGCTGTGTGAGCTGTGTCGCTGCGGGTGGGGCTCAGCCCTCGTTCTTAGGCAGACACTGAGCTCAGAGGAGTGGAGGAGAGACAGACAGCAAGGAGTTGCAGACTTGATGATGGCTGCACTCTCTGCATAGATGTGCATTGAAAACCCTGTGGGACAGCTGATGTAACAAAGGATCAGATAAGGCTATAACTAGCTCAATATAGCTGAGCCGATCCCTATCAGTGGAAATATGCCTTGATCTGCCCTGAAGCCAATCTTTCAGATCGGACTGAGACATCCCTACCACCTGTAGTCAACATTCAAGTGGATTTGAACAGATTGTTTCAAAACATTAAAGAACAAACTAAACATAACAGACAATGAGGTGAATGTGCCATGTTTATTATCCACCTACTTGTAATGTCGTACACTACAACAGCAGCAGCAGAGTCTCTGATGTAACTTGGGATGAGGCTACGAAACCGCTCTTGCCCTGCCGTGTCCCACAACTGCAACCTGATCTGTGGGGCAGGAAGGGGAAGGGGATGGGAGGAGAAACAAAAGAAGAGAAAAGAAAAAATAAACCAAAAGGGATGAAAATAAAACAAGAAAAAAAATGCGGTCAGAAAATGAGGTAAGTTATGGTGACAAAAAGCAAATTGATAAAATAAAACTAAATAAGGTCGGACGAATGGGAAGAGACAGAGAGAGGTCAGAGAGAGAGAGAGCGTAGCGCATGCAGGTAGTGAATGACCACCAGAGAGAGCAAGCTGTCTGGGCCTTTTGGGGGAGGGGATAAATAAATAATCACCCTTCACTTGTCATCAACCCTCCTCTCTTGATCAAGTAAGGTGTTTAATTTCAAAATAGGAATGAAAAGAAGAGATGGAGGGGCAGGAAGGAGAGGAAGGAAACTTTTGTTGAGGGAAGAAACAAAAAGAAAGGGAAGACGGTCCAGTGGGTACAGCATCCAGCTCACACTTGGATGGCAGTATAAATGCTGCGTGTGATAGTTAGAAAGAACATAACTGAATAATTAAAGAAAAAAGAACAACACGAAATTATTCAAGCAATCAACATCTGAGTGCCCCATGACACTATCTGAACCAAAGCATGGCATTCACAAAGAGAATGTCCCCAAACTAGGCAAAGACAAGAAGAGCTAACAATCAAGGACTGTAGTCAAAAAAATAAAACTTACTGTTCGGTCTTCAAGGTACATGGTTTTTGATAGGAAATCTATTCCTATTGTGGCCTGAAAATAGGTGACAAATCGTTAAATATGCATGACCTTTTTCAATCCATGAACATCTGATTTTAGAATATAATGAACATTATCAGTGACGGTTAAAATCAGGTGGTGGTGTCTGTCTCACTTGGTAAGTGTTGTCGAAGCTGTCATACATGAACCTGGTGATCAGCGAAGTCTTTCCCACTAAAAAAATAAGCAGAAACAAAGTACTATAAGTGCAAAATCACACTTTCACTTCAGTTTTGTAGGTTAATCAGTTCTTATTAAAAATGACCAAAATAATGCATGGCTATCACAAGAAGGGCTGCGAATAACCGAGTAATTAACTAACTGATTAATTTATCAGTTCTCTTTCATTTCTTTTTCCTGATTGATTGGTCAATATATAAAATGTTAAAAAATAAAGAAAAGTGCCTACAATAATTTGTCAGAGCCCAAGGTGACATCTTGAAATTGTATTATTTACCTGGCAATCATTTCAAAACACAAAAATATTGAGTTTATAACAATATGAAACACAAACTCTCCGACAGCTTCCTCAAACAGAGTTCCTTAAGAGTGATAAAACTGAGGTACTCCTTGTAGGTACATCTACTGACTAAACCATATAGCTTCTCAGAGTATTGACAACTCCAAAGTCCTTCCTTCCCCTCAGATTAAGAGTCTGGGTGTCATCCTGAACAGTATATTGTCCTTTGAGGCACACATCAATAATGTTACTCAGTCTGCATACTTTCATCTACATAATATTAATCATCTTTGCCTGTCGCTTACACCAAACAATACTGCTTTTCTCATTCCTTCATTGGTTACATCCTGTATTTTATATTGCAGTTCTGTCCTCTTTGGTCTCCCTCTCAAGTGTCTTTTTAAACTCCAAATGGTCCCGAACTAAGCTGCCCGTATCATTACTAGAACTTCCTCCTGTTCTTAGCAACTTCACTGGCTTACACTTAAATACTGTATTGATTTCAAGATTTTATTTCTCACCTGCCTCACTGTCATGGGATCTAGAGCCTTTAACCGTACTGCCCCCCATCTTGGGAACTCTCTCCCAAGAAATTCACAGTATTGATCTCCTTTCCGATTTCAAATCCTGCCTGAAAACACACCTTTTCAAGCTAGCATATTCAGTCTGATTTAGTGGTGACACACACATCAAGATTTGCACTGATGATGAATTTATGATGATGTTTTTATACCTTGCTTTTGTAACTACGATCTCTGTATAGTTATTTTATTAAGTTATTACTGTATATTACTGATTTGTTTGTCTTTATGATCTATGGATACATTGCTGCTTCTTTTTTTAACGGAGTCTTGAAAGGTGTCTATAAAAAATGCATTATTATTATTATTATTAATAGTATTATTATTATTATTAGAAAAGCTGCATTCTCACATTTGAAAGGCTGGAGCTAGTTGTAGTTTGGCATTTTTGCTTGATAAAGAACTTAAAAAAAAATTATACAAATGATAAAAAAAATATATTTAATTAAAATTGACTGATTAATCAGTTAATCAACTAAAAATAAACAATATTATGACCTAAATACAACACCTGACCAATAATAAAGGAATAATTCTGAGGAGTGAAAACGTGTCTCATAATAAAATGTGTGTAAATTTATTCAAATCCAAAACAGCTAGGATGACACTGTTGTTACAAATACTTTTCTGAAAAGGTGCATGTTTTCTACACTGACAATATCATGTACAACTTTGCTGATGATATCAAGTGTTAGCACACCACATCAAAGTAAAGATTATTACATACTGCAAAGATAGTTAAAAATAACAAGCAACATAAGTGCCAAATTCAAAATTGTGTACAGTCCATAAGCCACAGATGAAGAATCCTTATAATGGACTAAAACTGAGAGCAGCTTGCCATGCAATTCCAGCTGCCCTCTGAAGGTTCTTGTCCATTAAAGGGTGTGGTGCACAGTCATTTGTAGAAGTTGGAGGGTTGAGGAATGTCGAGAGACAAGTGGGGGTGGGAACCAGGCTCCCATTTATTGCCCTTTTCAAATGTTTTGCCTTGCTGTGAAAAATGGTACCATTGTTGACAACATTTCTTTCAACTTTGCTGATATTTACCAGTAAAACATTATTTTTTAGCACAATAACACAGAGAGAGACACTCATATGGTTGCTCTGGGCACCCACACAGGGCTGCTCAGCCTTGGACTGTTTTGCTGAGCTCGGGTTACATTATCAGTTACACTGTGCATCGAGTGATGATGACATGGCCAAAGCCAACACTGCGGTTACAAGGAACCAAAGCTGATCATACACTGTCAGACAAGCACAAAGTCTGTCTTATCTCAATGGGAGTGGAGAGTTAGATTACAGGATGCAATACCTTTAGAAAAATAATCACTGGCAGTGGAGAAATTGTCAACTTTTCTACACTACCATTTCCTGTTTCTATTCTAGGGCTGCACCAATCAGATCAGCTGGATCAGTATCAGTGCTAATACTGAGCTTATTGGGCAGATTGGGTATTGTTAGATCAGAAGTGATGGATACACATTAAATGCAGTTTCTTTGTTAATGTCATAACGTAGTGCCTCCACAATTACGTCCACTCAGCTGGTCACTAACTGCACCATAACAATGCCCAGCCTCATGTTAACATGCACAAAAAGTATCTAAATAAGTTTAATGCTGTTAGGTACATCATTTTTAAATTTAAGATATAGATGGTACTAGTATCATATGAGTACTGGTACTTGGTATCAGATGACCACACCCCAAGTTGAGATATCAGAATCAGGAGAGAAGAGGTTGAATCAGTGCATCCCAATTCTGCATCAAGCCCCAAATTTACTTTCAGCTTACAGTGTGTGTGCTTTGTGTTGGCATGCTAAACACACAGCTGTGAAAACAGAAGAAAGTCGTGGAAGTTCTGTGTTTGACTGTATAATGAACACCCCACACCTTTACCTTTGAAAACAGATACACAATTGTTACGTATGGATCTACACTGAATAACTCCCCTGCCCCCTATTTCAGTACAATCATACCTTGTGTTCAGTTTGGCTGGGAAAGGGGGGACATTAGTAGGGGGAGTATAGGAATGCTACTGGGCCGGTTTGGTAATGGATGTATCCTTTCTCCACAGAAATGCCTCCAGGGAAGACGCACTGATCTGACTGTGTAATCATAGTGATACTGTCTATGGACTTTGACTGAGATTGATGTCACCTGTAACGTTAGTCAGCTTGGCATGTAACTGTAACTTCTAGTTACTGTAGAAAATAAACCTAAAACACAATACAACCAGTATTATTATAAAAAATGTAACTTCAAGTCTGCTCACCATGTTAACCACTCTATTTTACCACTTAAGCTAACGTTAATTGACACTTCTAACTTTCTAGCTGCCACTGCCTCCGTTAATAGTATGTTATCACAGCTCGCCACGGAAGTTAGCTAACAGGCGAACAGGACATCTCCACAGACATGACCTAACATATCAGGAACAAAATGAATTACTTTTCCATGACGCCAGCGTTGACAAACATTTAGCAACAAGTTACGGTGTCGCAATGATCACTGTCTCAAGTTTATCGTTGCGCAGCTAATGCAAGCTAAGCTAACTTGTAAACGTTAATCGCCCTACCACAGCCACCAAACTCAAGCGTTAGCAACACCTCCCACAGAGCATAATTCAGATTCCACATCCAAACAACTTTAAACATTGACATCAGACTTACCACTCTGCTCCCCGAGAAAGACCAATTTAAACTTTCTTAAGGGGTTTCCGAAGTCTCCGGCCGCAGACATGACTGTATGAAATAAGCCCTGTCGTTACTTTTCGGGAGCTCCCCAGCTAGCCAGCTAATGCTAGCTAACCAGTGGTTGTCAGATATCAAAGGTTCGGGGTTCCTAACGTTTTAACGGTTTGCCAGCCCTCTCTACAGGCCACCAGGTGAGGTTCCGTGCTCTAAAATCCCTCCTTTAAGCGTCCAGACACTGTTTGATAACTCACTAACTACTGCTGCCAAGTTAGCATTACTGACAGTTCTCTGACATGTCCAGACCACCAACAGCTAGACACCCTGGGCTACTCCTCTTCTTCATGCTCAGAGTTGACACTGTTTGGCATGTCAGACATATCGTTATGCTGCCCTCTACCGGTGAAGAATAAAACACATAATAATAAAAAGTTGCAGCCTTTTCACAGGGCACCGCACATTAACTTTTACACGGATAGGCATGGATTGAATCAGACGTCACTTTTATTTCATTACTCGGGTGTATAGTGCACAGTAGATTGCTAAAGGCTAAAGCAAAACAAGCAGCCTGTGAATGGAGTGTGCTGTGTCTTTGTATGTCCACAAGAGGGCGGACTCACCGCACAGAAAGCATCTCACCAATGAAGCAACCCTAAAGATGATCTCACTCGTAAGTTGTCATAAGTTGCCAGTACTGATATTGGAATTAGGCTAATTACACCACTAAAGAGCAGTTGGGCTTCACTGTGTTATAGTGATAGATAAATATAACAGCTGCCTGCCTGTCTGTCTATCAGTGCATCCTACCTTGTATATTCTACTACAAATAATGTCCGTATAATAGGCCTACTTGTATCACTTGTAGACTATAATATTAGATCGGAATATCTTAGATTTGACACACCCTCCCTTGTTAATATGGAGCCAACACCTTGTTGCTGTTGAAAGACTACCTCCTCTTTTTCTTCAGGACAGACTATTTAGGGGTGTCGCTGCAAAGTGCACATGTAGGCTTCAGTCCTATGCCAGGTTTTTACTGGCAAACCTTTCAACATCAAGCCAACTGGCATGATTATCTTTGTGAACAAAATGAAATCACAGTTATGGGTAGCAGTATGTAGGTGTGAATGTGGAAGTCTAACCTGTTAGGTGTGTTATGACACTTTTGTAAAACATTGTTATCTTGCTGCAATGTTTACAGCTCTTATTTGATGGCTTATGACCTCCTGGCAGCTGCTGTCCAGAAGGCTGAGGCCCTGTGGGAACATTCAAGGTGACTTCATTCACTTGCTTCACCCAAAGACAAACAAATGAATATACTGGTGTGAAGTGTTCATGAGTTATATATAAAGCCATGGGCGGATTATAAGACAATGGGCCCCTGGGCACAAATATGAAAAAGGCGCCACTACATCTCCTACAAAAGAGCAAGCTACACTGTTTTTGTGGTAATTTTGCATCTCTTTGTAGGTTTGTGTATATCTGAGGTTTTTGTTGTTTTTTTGTATTTCCTTGTGGTGATTTTGATACACCTGGTTGGTGTGTGTTAATTTGACACTTCCAGGGGAGCCCTGGACACTTTGGCCGCTAGGCCCATTCAGTAATCCATCCACATATATAGAGCTATGCCATTTATAGTTATTAAATGATCAACTTTTTATTCATCAGTATCAAAATTTCAATCAATTTACTTTGACTTTGTTTTTATTGAAAGATTTCATAAAATTAAGACTGAAACACTAATTCCAGTAACATCAACCATTTAGACATAATAGTAGTAATCACCTACCAACCAAAAGAGTTTTGAATGTTTCATTCTATTACAACAGAAAATTATTAAACACTACATTAGAACCACTTTCCCTCTCGAGACTGAAATAATCCACCATGATACATTAATGAAAAGAAAAGTAGGGATCTGTGCTGAGGCACTGACAACGCTGGGGTCTACTTTTTTTCTACCTGCAATCATTTGAGTAATAAACCACAATTCATCATAATCATACTTACACATTTATTAATAATCACATCTTATTTGCATATTTCATTAAGTTCCCTTTTTGTGAAAATAATGTTGCTTACATAACTCCTATAAACATCACATGCCCTTAAATATTGATTATCCCCACAGGATATATATGAAACATACATATATGTTTACATGAGCATGCTTCACACTGGAAAGAAATTGAATATTTTAATATCATGGATTCCTGCAGAATCATGTCAGATTTTACAGTAAACCCACATTTTGGCTTTCCCTACAACAAGACTCTATTTCATTATTATGAATTCGTTATCACTGATGTTACTTTATATGGTTAATGCATTTGGAGTGTGTGAGTACAGTATGTGTATTTATGCATGCTTGAGCTGGCTGTTCTAGGTCACTGAAGACACACCTGCGCCTCTCTCTCATTCATGTGTCATCCAGCTCTGAACTCTCTTCTCAGAGTGCCGACCGGCTGATGCCAGTGCTTCAGCTGCTCTGCCGGCGACCCAAGCCTTGCAAAACAAGAGCCATCACCCACCGCCCGCCTCCCCTCCCCGCTCTCCCCAACAGCACTCTTACACTGTATGTCCTTGGTAAGGAAAATACCCCAAGTCCCCCCACTGAAGATGCTGAACTAACAAAATCCTCTTTCGCTCTCCCACTCAGTCTTTCTCTTTCTCTCTCTCTCACACACATACACAGAAGTGTTTTGCATGTGTTCATACACACACACAATTTGATACATCGATCACAAATGCACTGTAGAGGCTGTTGTGTAAGGGCTTTGATTGTGAATTTGCTCACTTCGCCGCTTGCCCAGAAATACAGCAATGCAAAGTGCCCCACAGGCATGCACCTTATTCTACAACAAATAAACTGTCAACCAGAAAAGCATGTCGTCCAAAATCAAAGAAGCGTGACTAAATGAAATTGCAGCACAAATGAATTGAACTTGTCACCTCAAGCCATGACTTCATTCTAGTGTGCTGGTCTCATGTCATGCCACTGCATCATTTACTTGACTCAGTCTTCTAGAGGGGAAAACCTTGCTGTGACTCACATTTTGGAGGAAAAAAAAACTTGTGGTCCTTTTCTTTTTCTTGTCATGTACCCTCTCTTTTCTTGTCTCTTATGAGGATACACACGGTTTTGTCTAGGTGTGTGAGCATGTTAATGTCACTCCGTACATCTGCCTGTATCTATGTGCTATGGAGGGAGACCATCCCGTTGCTACACCACCTTAATATAAATCTAATGAATGCAGCTTTCAATGTCACAGCAAAGTACAATACGGTGCTCATCTCTCCTGAGGGGGAGAGGGAGCATGGGGGCTGTAATGGAGGATGGGGGGAAATGGACAGAATGAGGGAAGATGAGGAGAGGAAATATATGAAGGTTGGGTCATGGTAAAATAGGTGTGTTGTCATCCCCAATACAGTAAGATGGAGAAAGGGAGGAGATAGATGGGGGATGGGGTGGAGCAGAGCCACAGCTCCCCTGTAATCCTCCTCCTAGAAGTATGGGCTGGGTGATGTGTGACAAAGAGTGAGGAAAGAGAGGAAGAGAGCGTTTAAAGAGTACGGGAAACACCGCCGAGCTCCCAGACTGGAACAAAGGATTGCGGTGGAGACAGGGCAGAAGGCACGGTTAGATCTCGAATCCCTTTTTCTGTGCAACATCAGGCAGGAACAGACACAGCAGTGCGGTGGGAGGCATTCTTGCAAGCATAAGTAAAGCAGCGATCAGGGTAGCAATCCAAGCACATTTACCAGAGGAGGGAGGGAAGGAGGGAGAAGGAGGAGAGAGAGGGAGAGAGCAGATCTATGAGAAGAGGAGGGGGGGTGTTGCATGTTCACAGAGTGTGACAGAGATAGAGCGATTCCATGAGCGAGAAAGAGACACAGAGAAAGAGAGGGAGAGCACAAAGCAGAGATGCGGAGCGAGCGCTGAGATAGAGGTAGTTGGCAAGACTGAGATCTGCACACAAACGTGAGCAAGGAGGGGAAGGAGGAAGAGAGTGGAGGTTGAAGGAGAGCAGGAGGAGGGGGAGAGGGGGATGCAAGATGATGGAGCCCAGAAATAGGCTTCACAGGACAGCTTTTCATCCCTGCTCTCTGCGGCAGACATGACTCTGGGCATTGGACTGTGCTGAAATTAGCCAGGGGGACAACACAGGACAGCAGGTCTGCAGCACACTGCCTCGGTTCAGCCTCACTGGATGCAGCACGGCAGCTGATTTATTACTGAGGGGCTGGGTGGCAGCGTGTTTGTGTGTGTGGCTCTAAGAGTGTGTGTGTGTGTGTATGCAGGTTTTTATGGGTCCTTGTAGCGCTCGGAGCTGTGGGAGCGACCATTCCTCCAGTCGTAAAATGACATTCAGCAGGCAGGGGCTTTGTGTGCTGGTGTGGATCTGCAGTCAGTAGGAAGTGGGAGAGTGGGATCCAGAGCTGTCATCGAGTGCAAGTGTGTGTTTACAGTGCTGTTCGCTGAGGTGAGCCAAGGAGGATCGGCTATATGCAGTGTGTGTGTGTTTAGGTTAGAGTAGCAAGGGTGCAGCAAAGGCAAAGATCCTACACAATGCAAGGGCGAGCGCAGAGCAGCACTGATGGCAGGGAGTGCAGGTAAAGTACAAGGAGTGCCCTGGGGGTAGGGTGGAGGACGAAGGCAGAGGCACGGGTAGAAGGAGGCAGAGGAGAAAAGAGCAAGGGGACAGAGAGAGAGAGGCAAGTGGAAAAGAGAGGGCGATCATGGCTGTCATACAGTGAGCTATAGCATATGCTGTAGCGCAGAACAGAGTGGTGCGGCAGGGGGAGGACAAGCATTACCGCACAGGGGAGGGGGAGAAGGCAAGAGACTGAGGAAAAGAGGAGGGGGAGGCAATCAGCTCAACACCTCTCCTCCACCAGGAGGAGAAGCGCAGCGGGACAGGCCCAGGAGAAGACACTTACTCTCACACACACAGTCAAAGACGCACTGACGAGCGGCCAGGTCAACGTGTAGAGGTCAAAAGGGAGCCGGTGCGGGGACGGGGGTTGGGTGAACCCCTGTTGACCGGCAGGTCCCCAAGAGCACGGGCCGGTCCTGGGAAGAAGTAGGAGCCCGCTGGTGAAAGAGGGGTCAGCTCCTCAAGCCCTGTTTCATCTGACAGCCCTGCCACCTCTCCATCACCATGGGAGAATGGACCATTTTGGAGAGGCTGCTGGAGGCTGCTGTCCAGCAGCACTCTACCATGATTGGGAGGTAAGACACTGATGGATCCTGTGTGTAAAAGGTCTTTAGTTTCTGGTTTTGTTTGTACTGATGAGCTGGGTGTTTTTATGTACAGTATATGTTATCCTTTATGTATCAGTTGATG